CACTTTTTAGGGTCCTGATTCTTCACTGCTTTGAACCTTTATGTCATCATTTACTCCTGTGCAAAGTGAACATAAAATGCTACCATTCTGATTTGTTAGGGGGGTATTTTAGATTTACTTTGCATATGTATATAAATTATAATATTCCTTTCTCAGTGCAGGGAGATTAATTGGATGACCCCTCAAGGTTCTTTCCAGCCCTATACTTCTGAGATACACGGTGCAAGGTTGTCTCTTTGTTGCTGCATTTAGTAGCAAAACTCTTCTATGGTTCTCCAGAACTTGAACTATATGATGCATTTGCTTGAGGTAAATTATCAGTGGCAAATATACATCTAAGGCCTTGCATACATGAGAAAGTTGTATCAGTTTCATTAAAAGTATAATTTTAAATCTACCTACTCAAACTAGTATAAACCTCTGTGTGGTAAATCTTATTTCAGTTTAAACCAAGTTTATTTAATCTCAGTTTAAATCAACTAGAAATCATTTAAAATTGAAAGAAGCCACTCTGAAATAAGAGTATGTGCACACAGATTTGCATTAGTTTACCTAAATAGGTTTTAAAACTTACTGGGAAAACCAGTACAACTTTATCCTGTTGACAAGGCTTAATTCTCTGTGGACCCAATTCAATATCCAAAGAAATCAATGAAAAGTGGACTGCTCCAGCCAGGTTGGGCCCGCCGTGTGCGGGGGCTGCTCCGGGCAGGCTGGAACGCCCCCCTCACCCATAATGCAGTGGGCCAGTCCAGGACTGGAGTGCCTGCCACCCTCCAACCCAGTCGGGCTCACTGCATCTTGAGCTTCTCCAGCCAGGCTGTGGTTAGCTGTTACTGGTAAACATCACTGGGCAAGGGTGATGCTTACCAGTGAATTGGTTAATGATTCATATCCATAGTGCAAACTAGAGCAACCACAGAACTGTTTTAACTTATGCCAGCTAGCATGGACCCGCAAGCATTGTTCTGATGGCTCAAGATTATTGGTGTTCATTCCAGGCTGACTGCTTCCTGCCAGTGGCACACCTCTGATATCCCCCCTATCCTGGGAAGACAGAGGAAGAATGGAGTGTGGCAGAGAGCTGGCTTTATGCTATTGGATGATCCCCACATGATATGGGAATTTCCAGTTTTCTTGAGTGAGGATCTGACCACGTTTTCTACCCTACCAATCTTATTCAAAGTTAAGCAAAAAGATGGATTTACTGAACTATCTACTGCAGCTTACATCTGACATTGTCACCATAAAAATAAGGCTAAGGCACAAATTCCTAAGCGTGCAAAAAGCAGAATATTTGTTGTTTGTTCTCATGTTAAATTCCAGCAAAGTTCTCCCTTTGTGGTCTCTTGGCATGTGCTCCTGTTTGTGCTGGACAAAATTGGGGTATTACCTTTAGCCCGGCATTTGGTTCTAAACTTCATAACAATAATAAACAAAAATGTACCTGGAAAGTATGAGACTTAATAGAATGCTGTGTGACTCATTCATTTCTGTGTGATTATTTCATTAGATTAGCATCTTAGTATTTGCCCAGGAAATTCTATAGCCCTACTGAAGCCAATACAGTTGATTCCAAATGAAGTTGTGTGTATGCTAATGATGACCCAGAGATACATTTATGTGTCTCTAGTTCAGTGAAGCCTTTCCAAAAGTATATTACAAAGAAGACTTACAGAGAAAGTTGTTGCCACATTATAATTATTACTTCTCTCCATTAACAAGTTTGAATGCATTTTACATTGCATTTATATTCTTGTTGAGCACAAGAAATGCCCTAGCTGCTCCATGCATGGATAGGAATGACTGCATTCCTGTTGTTCTCTCCAGAAATTTTCACCCACATATGAGAAAGCAAGCTCAGTGCCTCGTGAACTTTTTAAAAAAACATGTCCTACAACAAAACTGCTTGAGACTTATATGTAAAATTATTTCAGATTGCCACACTTTAGGGGACAGATCCTCAAACAGTGTAAACCAGCACAGCACCAGTAAGGATCTGGCTAAAAGTGACAGTTGTAGAATAGGATTTCATATAGTGTTATACTTCATTGCCCTAACAATAACTAATCTCTGACACAACCAATAAATAAGTAAATCTTTCTAATTTTGCAAATCTAGATGTATATTAGCAAAGAGTTCCTTCTCCTTTAACAGTTAAGTAGAAACTATCTGGGTTCCATTATATTACTTCCATTACATTGGCTTCCATTATTTTCCACCCCATTCCTTACCCAATCAAATGATATTAAAATAAAGGTATGTCATCTTATTATTATTATTTATTTGTAGTGCAGGTATGTCTTACTCTAGAGGCACTAATTAGGGAACAGGGCCCTACTGTGATAGGCATTGGAAAGACAGACAATAAAATTGCCGTAATTGTCTCAGCCCTGATGAATTCATGATCTCTATTACGACAAAAAGCAGCAAACAGATGAGACAAACAAGAAACTAAGGAGGGCAACTACATATGGTTAGACTGGGCATCTGATTTGGTTAATAATAATAATCAATACTTCACATGTTCAAAGTGCTATATCAACATTAAAGGCTAAATTGTGGCACTGGGAAGAGTGACTCTGTTCTGACCCTCTACCACATTTTGCTTCCCACATCTTCTAGAGAGCACTTCTGCCACCATTTTCTGTGCCAAAGCACTTGGAATCATCTCACAAAGTCAACAATAAGATTTAAAATCAATGTAAATGCCTGATTAGAAGTCAGTACAGGAACTAGAGCAGGAAAGATGTGTAATGATCATTTAGAACAACTACTGTAAATAGCCTCTCTAAAGTGTTTTAAGCAAGTTGAAGCCTATGAACCAACAGATCAATTATTCAAATAGTAAAGCCTCATAATAGTACTCAAGGTGACTGGAGAAGAGACCAACACCTTACTATGAGATATATTCTATAATGTTCCTCAGTGATTTTTTTAAAAAGTCCTTTGTAAAGTGAGGCTAGTGTGAAGCAGTGGAGCTCCCCTGGCTATCGTCTGCACATGTAAGTCAAGACATCAGGGTTCTTTTCTTCCCTGCCAGTTACTCTGCCAATGACATTCTCTGTGATTTTACATTGCTATTTGGTGGGAGTCATAAGTGATGAACAGTTCTAAAAATCATGCCAGTCACCTCTCTAAGCCTGAATGTACTGTGTGTGGAGATGCTGGAATGGTGCTAATATAGGTCTTTGTGGACTTTGGATGAAAGTTACTCCATAAATATACAGTATCATGAGTTTTTGTGGGTACCACCCATCTGAAGAAGTGGGTTGTGCCCACGAAAGCTCATGATGCTATATACTGTATATATTTTAGTTAGTATGTAAGGTGCTATAGAACCACTCGTTTTTTTTAAGTTACAGACTAACATGGCTACCTCTCTGAGATCTATAAATACAAATCATCATTACTATGTGTACTACATGGTCACCAGCATTCGAGATCTGGCTCTATAACAATACCAAGAGTCTAATTTTTAGAAACAAGGAGAAGAGTACAAGTTTATTCCATGCAACAGAAGCAGTAGAATCTATTACATGTACAGGAGCCAACCAACATGATTTCAGTTTTGTTCAGTTCAGTTTTGGAAATTGTTAAGCCATTCAGTCCTGAACCTATGCCAGGCACTGCAACAAAAGCAATGCTGCAATTGAAACATCAGGAGTGTGGGAGAGTTAGATTTCACTGTCATCAGCATATGATCTATGATAACATTCATGGAAAACTGAAACCAAAGGTAAAGTATGAACCCAGCACACAGCTCTGAGGAACACTCCAATATCATAGAAACTTGTGCAAAGCAGAAAACGGTGGATAAAGTATATGTTGCTGCAAATCAAAATGTCATAATGCACAATATCAAAAAGTGGATGATAAATTTATGAGACCAGCAAATATGATCCACAACATGTCCAAACAAATAAGTTAGTGCAGACATTGCCCAAAGCATTTTCATAGAGCCTAATCAGAACCTTTGCTAAATTGTATCATATATTTTGTCCCACAATGAATGCACAGCTTGTAATGACTTTCTGTTCAAGGATGTTAGCCATAATCACTTATTTATGGTTAGGGTTACAGAATTATCAAGTTGTGGTGGGCACTGGCCCTGCCACTAAAAGAGTAACGGTTACTAGTATTGGAACAGTCAGGAGTCTTGATAACTTGAATTGACAGCATTTATCTCTATATCTATTCTTGTCATCAGCACTTTGGAGCGGATGTGTCAGCTGTTGCATTCTGAAAAATGTTGATTTCACTGAAGAGCACTCTTGCACTAAAGAGCTTTTATTAAGCCAATAGATACAGTACATCCATTATTATACAATTGAACGAAGCACAGTATTTCAATACCCGCCAGCTGAACATAGCAATGAATAATGTGGATGTCTTTTGTGCCTGTCAAACATGAAGCCTATAACATGCTGCCAATATTTGTAAAATCCAACATATTAAATCACATTTATAGACAGAGGACAACTAACATCTGAATTAGCCTTCCCCATCCCACAGCCTCCAAAACAGTAGCATCTCTGCACATCATTGAGCTAAGTAAGAGATCCGTTTTTCAATGAAACAACAAAGTGACTTGAGCTCCCCTGGAATGAATCCAGCCCCAGGTTCCCTGTCCATTTTTAGGGTCAGTGAAGGAAAGACCTTTGTCTTGAGCTCAGCCCAGTTCAGAAGGCAGAGGCGCTCATCAGCCTCAAAGGGCAAAATGATCACACCAACCTTGCCCGGCCCCAAACAAAGCAGAGGCTGTTACCAGGACCACACTGTTCAATCGCATGTGTGCATGCACTGCTAGAGCTAAGCATGAGGGGATCAAATCAGGTCATTACCCAGGGCTGACTGAACACAACAGCTAGCCAACAGAATGTCCCTTTAAATGGCTATTCCCTCCTCCCGCCCCTGGTTTAAAGTGCGGGTGCAGGGAGCTGGAAATAAGCAGCAGCTCAGCGTTTTCATCTTTTGCGTTAAGAATCCAAAGCACTTACTTCTCCTCAGCCCCTCAGCTTTCCACTCGGTCTCCTCCACTGCCCCGTAACGTCTCATTGGTTTCTCTGCCTCCATGCTGGCAGAGATGGCTCTCTTTAACTCCACGCCGGAGTGCATGGCTCCTGCCCGGGCAGGCTGTGTGCGTGGGGCTCTCCTGCTTATTCCATCCTAGCCGGGGAGTCAGGGCTCCGGCTCAGCCCTTTCCTGGGCTGGACTGGAAGGCGCTGCTGAGCTCACTGCACCTTGTCGCCGAGCTGGTACCCGAGGAGGAGGAGGGGAAGGGATGCAGCGCACATGCTCAGTGCGAGGATGCTGTCTACAGAAACGCGGGATGAGAGCAAGGGAGAAGGGGAGGGGGAGGCAGGAAAACAAAGGGGGAAAAGCTGCCATGGCTCAGCCCTTTCCTGGGCTGGACTGGAAGGCGCTGCTGAGCTCACTGCACCTTGTCGCCGAGCTGGTACCCGAGGAGGAGGAGGGGAAGGGATGCAGCGCACATGCTCAGTGCGAGGATGCTGTCTACAGAAACGCGGGATGAGAGCAAGGGAGAAGGGGAGGGGGAGGCAGGAAAACAAAGGGGGAAAAGCTGCCATGGGGGGGGGGAAGGGATGCAGCGCACATGCTCAGTGCGAGGATGCTGTCTACAGAAACGCGGGATGAGAGCAAGGGAGAAGGGGAGGGGGAGGCAGGAAAACAACGGGGGAAAACCTGCCATGGGGGGATAGGGGAGGGGGGGAGGGCGTGTGCTGGGCAGAGCTTTTCACAGGCAGGGACGCCCAGGAAGAAGACCTTTGCCCGAATATTCCCCTCCCCAAGAGGGTTATGGAGGAAGATGTTTCCTACCTCACAAAGAATCTTCCTCCAAAGCCCATCTCTATGGTCCTATCGCCTGACCCCTCCCCCAAGCAGCTCTCCGCACCAGTCACCGGCTAGCTTCCCTCTTCCCCTCCAGCTCTACTCCTCGCCTCCATCCGTGCAATGGTGGAGTGGGGAGAGAAAGCGTCACCTTCTGTTCATGCCCACTTCTACTCCTGATCTTCTGAGGGAAGCTGGGGGCATTCCCCTTCTTCATTCCTTCTAGAGTAGTAAGTAGCCAGGTAAATGCTGCTAGGAGACTCTGACCTCACGCAGCTTTCCAGAACTCTGGAATCCACGTTTATGAAACCTTGCCTAGAGGTTTACCAGTCAAGGCAGGGGCTGTCTTGTTATGTCTAGCGCAGCGGTGAGCACAACGTGTGCATGTTACAGCTCAACAATAATACAATGGAGAGGTAAGCTTTGCTTTCACAGCGAAACCCACTTCCCATGTACATTTCAACCACCGCTGGGAGAACACCGCGCTTTCTAGCTTCACTTTCAGCAAAAGCCAGTGGATGGCACCCGAACAAACGATGTGGTTTTGCATTTCTCATTAACATGGGGCTACACTGTACACCTCCAGGGATTTAAAAGAGAAGGAAATGACTAGGCAGGAATCCAAGTTCCAACTATGGCGATTATTAGTTTTATTTTATAGTGGTGGTGAGTGGGTAAAATCTTCTAGTAACACTTGTCTTTACAAATACAGTATGTAGCACCTTTCATCCAAAGCTCCCATGGCACTTTCTTGATGTATTACCCTCACTGTACATTATAACTTCCCATTTCCACTTAGCAAGTCAATAACAGAGTGGGGACCACTACTTACATCTGCTGCCGCTAAGCCAGAGCTTTAATCATTGAACCACACTGTCTCCTTTTGAACATACATACAAAAGCTAAGCGAGATCAAGTGACCCGTTTATGATAATCCATGGATTAAAAAAACAAACAAACAATGAACAGGCTAGCAGCACCTTAATGACTAATATAACATGTAGATGGTGGTATCATGAGTTTTCATGGGTACCACCAACTTCTTCAGGATTTCCGGCAATTCTGATTGTTTCTTTTCAATTACAGACATACAAAGAATTTAGAAACCTAGTGGAAGGGATTTCAAAAAATGATGTTGGGTTTTTTGAAGTCAGTAATGTGGGAGCTATTTTTAATTTTGGAGTGGGAGGCTGCCTGGAAAGAGCAAAATTCAAAATTGTAGCATTGAGAGAATCTCTGCTAGTTGCATTTCTGCTTTTCACAGAATGAAGCCAGCTAGCAAACTAGAATTACTTGGACCATATTTTAGAAGGCTTGCAGGACACCCAACTTCTTCCCTTTAACCTGCTTTCTGTGGAAATTTGCTAGGACTTATTTTGGGTCCCAGACATTCTGGAAGTGCACTCAGTAACTAAGAAACTCAGTACTGGCAAATTTCAGCCCTTCATGAGAAGAAGCCCAGACAGAGCTGTGAGTCAGAAGCAGTGTACCAGGTGGCAGCACAGTGCACAGCTGATTGATTGACTATGTGATTGCCTGCTGGGGTGGCTGTATTGAGTCACTGGAAGGAATGAAGAACATATAAGTGGGAGGAAAGCATAAGACTATCTTGGAGAGGGGCCAAATTTAGATTAGGGTGGAAGAGGGCTTCCATTTGGGTGCATCTGGGCCTCATTTGGGTTTAATCCCTCCCTTAGGTGCTTTTCATAATTGCAACACAAATGCAATTCGTTTTGGAGGTGGAAGAAGAATCTAGGAAAATAAATAAATATGTTAAGATCCGAATTTGCTAACCTCAAAGAAAAAAGAAGTGGCAGTAGTTAGAAATCATATACTTTGACAAATGAACTCTGGGTCACAGAGAATTTCAGTCAAACATATTCAGATAGTGTGTGTTCAGCCACTTTCCTTTGATATAGCTACATAATAGTAGAGCCTGAACCTGCAAATGATTTCACGTGTGAATATTTGAGCAGATCCAATGAGTTCACATGAAAGCATTTGCAGGATTGAGGTCTTAGTTCACAATAAATTAAGTTGTTTATGCTCTAGTATTTTTTCTGTTGTAATGTGGTATCATTTGCCGTGGAAGTAATTTCCCTGCAGGTAATGATGTCCTTGAATGTGCCTTAGAAAGACATTTACCCTTACACCCACAGCAGTTTGTTTTATTTTACTGAATGGATCACGGGAAAAGAAATTGTGATAATCGCAGTTCATTCAATTTATTCAGAAGTTTGAGATGAAGAAAACTCAGATCCAATTTATATTTTTCTCATGAAATCACACCACCTGACTGTGTTAGTTTCCTGCCTATTCCTACAATGATTTATTCATCAAGTAATGACATCAGGTGTTGTGACTAGTCTTGTGAAATTGGACAATTTGTGTGTGTGACAATCTATTGCCCCCTTTGCCCTCCACTACATACCTGCAGCAGACAAGCACTATATATAATGTTTGCTCTTTACTCAGACAATGGCAATATGGCATGTAAATCAGAGTAGAAGAACGTTTGTGTGATAAATCTTTGGCTTCACATAGTATGACAGGGATCTATAGGATTTTTGTTTTTGTTTTTTGCTTCAGCCTCCCACAGAACCACAGAATATATATTATCCTCTGCTTACGTGGGTACTGAAATCCTTGTTCTTTCCACTGGTCTCAATCCCAGCTCAATAAAGACATGATACAGCAAAGAAACCACTGTCAGACCTCACAACAGTGTAGATGTGTTTATTTCTTTGGGATTTTTTTTTCACAGGAGGGAATGGCTATAGGCAACTTGCTGCTCAGGTTAATTTAGTGAGATTTGGCAGAAAAGTTTCATGGTTGTTTCATGGTTGGCCTATTTAACATCTTTTTAAAATTCTGTTTTCATCAAGCACTTTCATTTTGGAACATATTTAAGCTGCTGTAGGTATATCCTCGAAACCAAATCTAAAATTAGCTGGCAATATTAACCAAGATGTTTATCACAAATGCATTGGCCTCAGTTCTGAGCTCTAAGCATCTCACAAGACAAGGGGAGAAAGTGCTTCATGAGACGACAGATTCTGGGCTGGCTAGGGACTTTGGTGAAAGCTAGAGCAGCCAGATTGCTGTTCTAATTTGCATGCAACTGTAATAGCCCCCAAAAAACTTTGCAGAGACAAATCACAACAGCACTTTTATCTTTCCCCTTCCCTGGGAAAAGCCTTTGGCATAGTCCTTATGACTGCATAATGGGGAGAGGGAGGCAGGTATATATTATCCTGGCAATCTGATTACATCAATTGTTTTTCCAAGGGCCGGATCTGGCTACTCACTGGCCACAATGGAAGCAAGAAGTAGGGTCAATATTCTCCTTCAGACAGTGCAATAATTCTAACACAATAAAAATAAGGATAAAACTTTTGCAAAGGTTTATATTTATTCATCATTAAAATTAACATCTGCAAATTTGATCTGGTGAAGTAAAATGACATTAAGTGAATTATATGGAAAATTATTTCATCTCTTGCTTCTACAGTATTCGTGTATCTTATACACATCAGTGCCTGGTTTTAATTTTTGTGGGAGGAGGCCAGCAGATTTTCTTTTTTGTTTGTTTGTTTGTTTTTAATCTTATGAAGCCTTTTTACAGCCTGTCTATACTACACTTGAAACCATGATATTAATAATTGTTGACACTAGGGCTATGTCTACAATACAATGATCTATCGAAAAAAGGTATGCAAATTGCGCCCCACAATTTGCATACCTTTTTCCAATAGTTTTTTCAGAAGAGGCTTTTCCAAAATTTGACCCATCTACACTGGGCCAAATTTCGGAAAAGCCTCCTCTTTTGGAAGAGCCCTTCTTCCTCATGGGAGGAGGAAGACAGGGCTTCCAAAAAAGCACGTCTGCTCTTCTGCAAAAAAAAGCGGAAGAGTCGATGTGTTCCAGAGGCATCCCGGAAAAACCCCATACTGTAGACATAGCCTAGCACAATTCTACAATAAGTTTCTTAGTTTGGTTGGCCAGGGATTTTTTTTCTTGAGCAATTTTCTGGCCAAACCATGTGACAGAGTCTATAATATAAAAACTTTACAAAATTGTTCTAAAACATAGAACAATACAGTTTACATGAAATAATTCCTGCTCCTACTGGCACTTGATTTTCAACCACGTCAGTTCTCCTTCAATGATTTAATTTTGTAGTGTAAAGTGGACTTTGTGTTTTCAGCATGTCCATGAAGTTTGGGACATGTCCAAGTGTGTTGTAACCAGATCCCCCAGCACAGATGAGCATATAACATAGATGAAATCAAGAGGGTAGGAAATTGGATCTGTGAACAAGACAGCATTAAACACTATGTATAACCTCCTGTCATTATGATGTTATGAGCTCTCTATGCAGACAAATTTACTATGTAAGGAGATTGGGGTGTAACACATAACACAGTTTGATCTTGCCAGTGTATATGAGTCGAGTCATGTCATTGATTCATATTATTGCCCTATACAAATCAGGGATTTCCCTTT